CCCGCCGGGCCCAGGGGAGCTGCGCAGCTCCGCTGCCCCGGCGCCTCCCGGCATCTGCCCGGCTGCGGAGCGCTCGGGCTCTCCGCGCCTCTGCGCCCCGGGCGAGCGCGTGGCCCACTCCAAGTCTCGATCCCACGCTCATCCCAACGGACGCACACCCCTTCCGGCTCCAGACCGAGTTGCGGGAAGCTGACAGCAGGGATCCTCCTCACTCCAAGTCCCAGCCCCGCGACCCCCGACCCCGGCGACCCGCCCCCCTCAGCCTGACCTCTCCAGGCCGCCCCAGGCTCGCCCTTCCTGGCTCCCTCCCACCCAAAGCTACAGTCTCCGAGGTCCGCTCCCTCCCCACTACTTAAACGCAACTTGCCTTGGCAACATTCGAGCGAGTTAGCGTCTTCGATATATAAACGGGTCTCGAAACACAAGAAAAAAATAACCACAGATAAAAGGACTGGAATAGGCAACTCTTAGGAGAAAATGCAAATACCTGGCAAAAAATAAAAGACAAACTAGTTTTTCACCATCAGACTGGCAAGGGCCCCTCCCACACCTGTGTCTCCCAGGGTGACAAAGGTTCTCCTTCCTGCCTCCCTGGGCTGCCCCTGGCAATACTCCTCTCTAATCTTAGAGGCTCATGTCCTGTGACTGAGAAGGGAATCTCACTTCTAGGAATCTGCCCTAAGGGAACCATCATAACCCACACAGCACCCCCAGGGCTGCAGCACAGCTAACCACCCTCAGCCAATGACAGGGGCTGCCGAATGCCCTGTGGCCCTGGCCCTGCCTATCTTTAAAGGTGACACAGGTGAAGGTCCAGGGATGGGGAAGGACATTGGAAAAAAAGAGCCTATTCCTCACATCCCACATGTGATACGGAAAAAGGACTGGAAGGTCAGGCAAAATGTAAACCCCAGCCCCTGGGCTAGGGGTGGCACACACGATATTTAACTGCACCCTCTTACTGGTTAAGAGCTCGGCTGCTAACCAAAAGGTCGGGAGTTCAAAACCACCAGCCGCTCCTTGGAAACCCTATGGGGCAGTTCTACTCTGTCCTATGTTTTTTTTTTGGTTTTTGGCGGTGAGGACTAAGGCACGCCTGACCCAAGCCTAGCCATGGTATTTTCAATCGCCTTATATGCGTGCAAAAGCCGGACAACGAATAAGAAGGGCCAAAGAAAAATGCCTTTGAATTACAGTGTTGGTGAAGAATACTCAATATACCATGGACTGCCGGAAGAATGAACAAATCTGTCTTCGAAGAAGTACAGCCAGAATGCTCCTTAGAAGCAGGGTGTACTTTGGACATGTTATCAGGAGGGATCAGTCCTTGAAGGAGGACATCATGCTTGGTAAGGTAGATGGTCAGCGAAAAAGAGGAAGACCCTCAACGAGATGGACTGACACAGTGGCTGCAACAGTGGGCTCAAGCATAACAAGGATGGTGAAGACAGTGCAGGACCGGGCAGTGTTTTTCATTCTGTTGTACACGGGGTCACTATGAGTCGGAAATGACTCGACGGCACCTAACAACTCTTGTTGTATTATGACAACACACACAGGCTGGCCTGGCTCCTCAGGATCATAGCACCCCCATCCTCACCTGGATGGCCTTCTAGTCCTCTCCCTACATGACTCAGTCTACCCTCCTGGCCACCTCCAGACTTCAGCATCACCCAGGGGTCCTGGTGGATCCAGCGGGGTCAGTGACCCGCAGCTGAGCATTGAGGGTTAAGTGAGGTCGTGTTCGGCGCCTCGCTCCCAGCACCTCATGCCCCTGTCCTCCAGGCCCCAGTCAGGCACTTTGCGAAGCTGAAAGACAGGGCCTAAGTCCTTCTTCCAGGAACCGCACCTCCAGCTACCAGACCCACCTGCCCCAGGCTCTCCCCAGTGTCCATCCTCCTCCTCACACTGGCAGCTACAGGAGAGCAAGGCTCACGGAGGGGCTGGCCAAGCAGGTGCCCACCTCCAGTCTGCCTCCTACGTGCTCACATCCCACCCCACCCCCATGGCAGCAGCTGGCACCAGGGGCATTGGAGGGCCCCCAAGGAGCCTGCAAAATGGTCATCGCCATGTCTAGGCAATGGACCCTTGTCATAAGGCCATGGATGGCCCGCTGCCCACAGTGGGCCACGTGCTAACCAGGAGCAGGAAGCCCCACCTCAGGCCTCCGGCAGCTGACAGGGCAGCCAGCAGGTGGCGCTGTGCCTGTCTGCGCTCACCTGGGACAGGAAAGGCCCTCAGAGCTCTCATCCCAGACAAATACCTGCTGGCAGCACACAGCAGGTGCTCAATCAACAAGGGAGACCACCGAGGCCCTTCACCCTTACCTGCAATGCGGATGACTGCCCGCTCAGCAGGGTCTAGGACGCTCCCGTTGGCCCCGGAGCCAGCCCCGCTTCGGCGGCTGCGTTGCGTCTTCCCCAGGTTCCAGGGCAGCGTGTCCCCGGGGCTGGGGGAGCTGCTGCCCCCATTGGAGCCATCCTCGGCCACTGGCCGCACCTCAGGGCCTTCGCCTGACATGGCCTCCTGGGGGGAGGTAGAAAGGGGGTTACACTGTGGAAGGGAGCGGACACTGCACACTGACCCCCCTCTCATCCTCACCCACAACTAGCCCTCTCCAGCACATCGTGGACACCCACACACTAACCCCACCCCCTCTGTGTGTCATCAGGACCCTGACCCCCTCCTGTGCAGCTGACTGCCAGTCTCTTCCCTTAGTCACTGAGACACGGGCTCCCCACCCCATCACCAGGACAGTGACCCCATCCTCCACCCTCCACCCTGTCAAATGGGGGGCCATTACCTTCCGTGGACACTGCCCGCACGCCCAATTCCGTCAGTCAGGTACTGACCTCCACCCCGTCCCAAGCCTGCATCGGCTCTGATGCCGCCATGCGGCAGGAGGACGCCACCAGCACGCACTGGCCACTGACCACCACCTGCCCGGCCTGCTCCCCGGGGAGAAGGCTCACCCTCACCCTGGACTCTGGCACTCTACCTCCAAGCTGTCTCCAGGACCCTCCATCAACACTCCCCACCCCCGCTCGCGCAGTCCCACCTCCCTCTCCGCAGTGAAAGTCTATAAATAGCCGGAACCGCCGCCGCAGCGGCGTGGGCCGCGGGAGCTCGGCTGCGGGAGGCCGGGAGGAGCCAGGGCCGCGCTCTGCAGCTCAGCCTGCGCGGCACTCACAGCGGCTCCGCAGGCACAGCCAGAGCGCACGCACACCCACGCGTGCACAGCCCCAGTTCCCAGTCCAAGAGCGCTGGCCTGCGGAGGTGAATGGGGCTCTGTCCCGGCAGGGGTAGGGTGGTGTGGGGGCACAATGTGGGCTCTGTGCCTCCGCCCTCAGACTAAGGGCTGGAGAGGGGACCGTGGGCACCGAGTCGGGGGCCTCCCCGCCCCGCCCCCACCGGCTCCTCGCCGACAGCCCGGCCCCAGGCCCTGTCCTGGTCCCCCGCCGTCAGCCGCGCCCCCGCCCCCAGCACCGGTTCCTGCCCACACCCCGGCCGCCGCCCGGCTAGTTCCGCAGTCGAGGGAGCGCGGGGAGGGGTGCCCGCCCCAGAGCAGGAAGGGCCGCAGTGTGGCCCCTGGTCCCAGGACGCTTGCGGCTGCCTCCCACCCAACGGCCTCGCGGCTCCGCGTCCCTGAAGCCCCGACCTGGGTCGTACGTGCCTGGTGGCTCCGCTAGGCTCGTCTCGGCCGCCGCAGCCAGACTGTTCCGCCCGGTGGGCCGCGGAGGCGGCGCAGGCGGGGCGAGCGCAGAGCCCCGCCCCGGCCCCGAAGCGAGTGGCGCGGGTCCCGGCGAGAGCGAGCGGACGGTGCGCGCGCGATCGGGGTGCCGTGTATATGCGGGGTGCAGGCCACGCAACGCGGCTGGAGCCCGCGCCAGGGCGGCTCGGCCCCGGACGCGCCCAACGCTGTGTGCACACCTATGGCCGAAGGCGGCCCCCTCCCTGCGAGCACAGGGCGGCAGGTCGTCAGGGAGACGTTGTCGGGCGTACGTGACACGAAGGCTGCGTGGGGTCGCGCCAGCGCACGCTTGGCCCGCCCGGCGCCCGGCGCCCGCTCTCCGCTGATAGGGGCTTCTCCCAACCGCCTAAGGAGGCTCGCAGCCCCGGTCCGGGCCCCCAGCCACGCCAAGGTCCCCTACCCCCAGGCAGAGGTCGCGCCCCGAGCTCCACCAGGTTTCACGCACACGTTTATTCAAACTGCAGACTCGCGCGAGGCGGTTCGGCTGAGGCGGGCGGGTCGGCCAGTCACCCTCCTCCTGGGCTCTGCTGACCCCTGGTGGTTGGGCCTGCTCAGTCCCCAGCGGGACCCGGCCCTGGACCCTCCGCCGCTGCCTGTCCCCGCCCGGATGCTGGAGGCTGGGGCGCCCCCGGGGGCAGCTCAGCGGCGTGGGAGCAGCAAGGCTACACAGAGCGGGGAGCTTGGAAGGCAGGAAGCCAGTGGCTGGGCCGACGGAGGACGGGGTGCCTCTTGGGTCAGGAGGTTGGGGAATAGCCCCAAAGCCCCGAGGAGTTCCCGGGGGCAGCCTGGTGCATGTGCTTGCAGGTGATGAGGTGGGTGGGCAGCGCCTGGGTGTCGTGAAAGATGACGAAGATGCTGGGCCGGCGGAGGCTGTCCACGGCGCTGTCGTAGCGCAGGGAGGGGTGGCCAGAGGCCCTCAGAGGGGGCGCCCGCAGTCCACCGTGGCCCTGCACGTAGTCGCCGGTCAGCACCCGCGCCACGAACACCGACTTGTGGCCATAGGCGTTGGGCGGCGAGTAGCGGTCCTGCACCGACAGGGAGGCGCGCTTGGCAAAGTACACGCCCTGCCCGTAGAGCGTGCCTGTGGGGCGGGGAGGGGCGCGCGAGTTAGGGGCGCCGGGGCCACCGAGCCCCCGCCCGGCCGGCCCGCGCCTCACCGTTGCGGCCACAGAAGCTGCGGTTGAAGCCGTGCGCGCAGATGTCGGGCACGGCAGACGCAGATGTGCCGTGGTACAGGACCTGCTCGGCCGGCCGCCGCTCACAGCGCTGCTCCAGCCGCTCCCGGTGCAGCTCGTACTGTCGCTGCAGCAGTGGGTGCGACACGCGCTCCACCTGCGGGATGGCGCAGTCAAGCGGGGCTGTGCGCCCCCCCCACCCCCCGCAAGAAACAGAGCTGAGCCTGGCCTCGAGGGCGGCTTTTGGAGTTCAGGGGCAGGGAGACCTCCCCAGCCGCCATGGCTGTGCCCAATAGCAGACATTAGCCACCCCTGTGGGGGTTGAGTGGCATCCGGGGTCTTTTAGGGAGACTCAGGCCCCCTCCAGGGAAGTCCCACCCTCCCCTCCAGGTAGGCCTGGGAGTGGACAGTGACCACTCACCAAAACTTGGGCCCCACACTGCCAATACTGCCAGTAGAAGTCAATCCCAGCACAAGATGTCACCCCCATCTCAGTGCAGGGTGGCAGGGAAGGCCCAGGTGACCAACCCCACAATCCGCCCTGAAGCACAAATCCAGGGATCTAACAGAGCTTTGGAAAAAGTCTAACTAGTGGGGAGGCAAAAGAATATGGTGTCCAGGAAGCCAGGCTAGCTGCCGTTGAGAAAGAAGTCTGAAAAGAGGGTTCTGACACTGTGGGTCTGACTGCTGCGTGGACAGGCCAGACAGGGAAAGCTGAAGACGCAGCCAGTGCCAGACGGCAAAAGGCAAGGTGCCACCCAGTGCAGAGCTCAACGGAGACAGGGGGAGAGTGGTGGGCGGGGGCGGTCTGCTGGTCACAGGAACTCCACAGAAGACAGCAGACAGCAGAGGAAGAACGTGAGGAAAACAAAGGTGCTCCTGAGCTGAAGGCAGCACCCTGGATTGAAACGACCCCAAACTGCCAAGAAGGACAAGGGGGAAAGACGCCCCACTAGCACCCACCTGCCGGGAAGACCACACACCTTCAAAGTGAAGAAAAACTATGAAGGGTTCAGACACACACACACACACCCCACCAACAACAACCCTCAAGTGGGTACGCAAATGGGAAAAAAACCTCACACTGGACTTCTCACCACTAATACCGAATACTGAGACCCTGGAAAGATTGTTTTTTAATTTTCAAAAATAAAAATGTTTAAGAGATAAGAAAAAGAGCAATGTCTTCAAAGATTTGTGGGAAAAACTAGTCTGAAACACTGCACCTGGCCACACCACTGGTGAAGAGTGAGGCCAAATGAAGGTGGATCAGAACCCACAAGGACGCGGAGAGCTTACACCGACATCAAGTCACAGTTGCAAAATAGCTCTAACTGAAGGCAAAATAAATTTAAAAGTCAAAAGTTGTTCACTACCCACTTAAGAAGACACTCCTCCTAAACAGAGAGTCCGCACAGTGGGTGGCGAGGAGGAGAGTGACCCAGCCGTCGTGCCCCAGAGGTCATGAAGAAAGTTAGCGAAACAAGAAGATCCACTGGCCCCGACCCACAGAACATTCTCTTCTGTGCGATGGTTTTAATGTCTAGGACTTCACTTCTCTCTACGGCTCTGTGGGGACATTGGTGGCTCCGTGGTAGAATTCCCGCCTTCCATGTGCGGGAGACTCGGGTTCAATTCCCCTATAATGCACCTCACGTGCAACAACCTCCCCTATGTCAGTGGAGGCTTGCATGTTGCTGTGATATGTAGCAGGCTTCCGTGGAGCTTCCATGCTAAGACAGACTAGGAAGAAAAGCCTGGCAATCTACTTCTGAAAATCCGCCAAGGAAAACTGTTTGGATCACAAAGGTCTAATTGTTTTGGTCCACTGTGCACGGGGTCACCACAAGTCAGGGGCTGACCTGACAGCAGCTACTAACAATGGTTCTATGGTAAATATCTTCTCATGTATCTATCAGCATGTGGAGCCCTGGTGGCTCAGCGGGTAAGAGCTCGGCTGCTAACCAAAAGATCAGCAGTTCCAATCCACCAGCCGCTCCTTGAAAACCCTGTGGGGGCAGTTCTACTCTGTCCTACAGACAGGGTTGCTATGAATTGGAATCGACTCAACAGCAAAAGGTTGGTTTGTTTTCTGTTGTTTTTATCAGCCTATGGCCAAAGCGTGGAGATCTCACGATTAGTTACGGAACAGGCTATAAAGTCAGCAAACTTGACTGTGTAATAAAAATAACGTAACCGACCAAACTGAGCCAGAGGAGGGAGGGAAGCCCAAAGGGCGCAGGGCAAGCTTGCCGGTCCCCAGCTGTCGGAGGGCGGGAACGGTCTCTGCGGTTGTTAAATGAAGAAAGAGATGCGGCGACAAGAACCGCGTTGTGTCTAGTTAAGCCAGCAAGGGAGGAGGTGACAGAGTCTGTCCTCTCAAAGTGCAGACCTGACAGCTGCCAAGTCCAGAACTAGAGGAAAAGCACTCGACTCACGTTTACAGTGGCCATCTCCAGGAGAGGGGTGGTGCTGGGTGACTAGCAGTGACAGTGGGTAGCGGTGGGGGGCCGTGGGTGGGTGATGGTGGGTGGGTGGCAGTGGGTGGGTGGCGGCTGTGACCCAGGGAGGGAGGAGCTGGGTGATAGTGAGGCGGAGGCCTGGTCATGGTGGGTGAGGAAGGAGGAGGGGAGTGCAGCCGTGAGGAACCCCCTCCCACATCCTCGCCTCACACAGGGCTCTTGTACTACAACTCCCAGTGCTCTCCGGGGCTCTGCGTCACCACTGGGCACATCCGGAGGCTCTGAGATCAGGCAATGATGCAGCTGCCTCCCACGGAGCTAGGGGTCCCAGGCAGGCGCTGCCCAGAAGGGGAACTCAGGGCGGTTCCCCAGGGGGGCACCTCTGGGGCCAGCATGCTGAAGGGAGCAAGAAGGGAGTGCAGCCTGTCCCTGCAGGGGTGCCCCAGAGCCCCCCTTCTCTCCTGGCCAGTCTAAAGCTGGGGGCGACTCAGTGCTCCGAGGGGGCGTCCTGAGCTTAGGGTCTGTCCTCGCCTGAGGAGCTTCACCCACCTCAATTTCTGAACACTGAGAATGGGAACCTTCCAGCAATGACCTTGCTTACAGGTGTTTCTCCCTGGGTGGCGCAAACAATTATTCAACTACTAGAAAAAGATTAGCAGTTTGAACCCTCCTGGAGGTGCCTCAGAAGAAAGGCCTGGCGATCTGTTTCTGAAAGGTCACAGCCTTGAAAACCCTATGGAGCACTGTTCTACCTCTGGCCCATGCTGCTCCCTCCCATGAGGGTCCGGGCGCCCCCCCACTGGCCCTCTCTGGGATCCCCTCCTTCGGCTCCAATCAGTCTTCTCAGCTGGACAGCCTAGTCTCCAACCCTACACTCCCCTCTAGCCACCCCCCATGTCCCTCCTCCCTGGTTCAGAGCTGTTTGTATCTCCCATCTCCCTGCCCTCACCTCATCCATACCCTGCCCTCACCTGTACTCACCCGCCCTCACCCTGCCCTCACCTCACCCATGCCAAGCCCTCACCCCACCCTCACCTGCACTCACCTGCCCTCACAGACCCTCCTCCCACTCTTCCCCCCCGCCCCGTGGAGACTCCACAGGGACCACCCCTCCCTCCACTGGCCCTCTAGCCCCTCCTCACCCACCTCCAGGCTGCAGTTCCCGAGGGTTTCACTTTCACTCCCCACCTCAGCTCACATGAGGTCAGCACTCGTGACCGCCCCCATCACCCCTCTGAAGCCTAGATATCCTCAGTCCCTAGCTCATCTCCTCCAGAGGGGCTGCTAGTCTCGGTCTCCTTTGCTGGGGGAGCCTTAGACCTCTTTCCTGTCCACCCTCACTTTCCCGGCGGGGTCACCGGGTCCCACACGCCCCAGCCAGCCCTGGCTCCATCCACACCCGCCCCTTCCCCACCCCCCAGCTCAGCTGAGAGGGGCCCATCCTTCCAGTCACAAAGTCATCCTGACTCTCTCCAAGCCCACATGCAATCCTTCCGGAAATCTCCTCACCACTACCTCTGAAAGAGCTCCATAACCCAGCACTTCTCCACGGCCCACCTGGCCCGTCCTGCTCTCCTGGGCCATGGGGTGGTGGGAGCCTCCTGGCCGGCTTCCCTGGCCGTGCCGTGGCCTCTCCTGACCACTTCAGAGGGACTCTCGGGCACACAGGCAGCCCTCGCCGCTCCTCCTGACACCCTGCCAGGCCCTGGAAGCCCTGACCACCCCCACCCCTTCTGCTTCAGCCCTCTGGCGCCATCACAGCTAAAGCTCTTGCCTGTGCCCACTTCTACCTGCTAGACACCAGCACCTCAGAAGGGGCTGCTCTCACACTCGCCTGGGTCCCAGGACCTAAACCAGCACTAGGCATGTCCTCAAGTAACCACAACACGCCATTGACGCCCCATGTTCCAAACAGGGAAACTGAGGCACAGAGAGGGCCAGCACCAGCCACAGTCACCCACTGTAACAGGTATGGCAGGGACCCCCACTCAGGCTCGTTAGTTCCAGGGCCCCCCTGCCCTCTCTGCCCTCTGTCTCCGCTACTCAACCTTGTAAACTCTCTCTGGCCAGGGGACAAGGCTGAGAGCCCCTGGGAGCCCCATCCCCCACAGCTCCCAGCCAACCCCACCCGGGCAGCTGCCAGCCAGCCCCACCCCGGGCAGCTCCCGGCCAGCCCCACACCGGGCAGCTCCCGGCCAGCCCCAC